TTTGCACAAGTCCAGGTAGATGATGTCAGCAAATACACACAGATAACGTGTACTACAGAACAAGACTAATTTACCTCCTCTGGGTCAACAGGCTTTGAAAATGCTCTGAAACGTCTGTCAATGACAAGTCTGTGAGTCACATCCCTTAGGAAAATCCTGAGTTCACGCAATGTATCCTCCTCCTGCTCCTCCAGCTGTCTTCTTTCCTCCTCTGTCAGCTGTCGAGGCTTAGGCGGTGGTGCTAGAGGCAGTTCTTCCAGTGGACACCAAGCTTAAATGAATTGTAAAGTTTTAGTCAATTTCTGGTATTCAGATAGAAGCAGATGAAAAATTACTCAGAGAAAATTACCACCAAAGTCACTACTGTACAGCTGTGAACTTGGCTAGCAAAGTTTGTACGCAGAATACCCTCACCTGCACTGGGTTTGGGTGCCGGAGGTTTAGCAACTTGATTTACAACTAAGTCTTCAAAAAACATTCCTCTTTCTTCCCTATCAGGCAACTGGATTTTGAAAACTTCTTCATGGTTGTCATTAAACAAGTCTTTGATCTAAAGCACGAGAAGAAAAGTTATTTCAGATACAAGGCCACACAAATGCATGTTCTATTCCCAAAAGATGAGTACCTGTCTAACTGAAGCTGGATAATCACCTAGACAGACAAACTGCAAAAAGTCATCACCTGGCGGTAAAAGGCCAGATTTTCATAGGTTTGCACAGCAAATGAAAACATCTTCTTCAAGGAACACCTCTAGAGTTACAGCTCAATGAAGGAACCATCTGATACACTGATAAAGTGGTGACATTCAGCACCACCTCCAGGACTCTCCATTTTGTATGTACCCTCCTTGCTGTCCTTTCAGAGCTGACTCTTTATGGCAGCTCTAGAGGGAATGGGCAGGGCTCAGCAGACCAGTGCAGGCTTTTGGTAAGGGGGTGGAGATTTGGTTGGGGTTTCTTCTACAATTTTTAAGTAGTTAAAATGAGGTGTCTGAAATTACATCCAAATTCTACTCCATTTTTGTAATCTCTGCTCCCAAAAGGCACAGAAGGAATTTCTACCCTTCCTTTAGAAAGAACATATACACAGTATAACAACTTGTATAGAAACTGAAGCCCTTTCAAAGCATTTAATGATAAACACATCTAGGTAAGCCCTGCTCCTCTCCCCAAGTAACTGAGGCAAAATAATCAGAGCAGCACATTCACAAGGTGAGCACCTTCCTTTCATGCACACTCTGATGTCCAGAAAGCTCAGCATGTCCTCTTACTGAACATTGTTAAGGAATACAACAACTGATTTCCAAGTGACTTAAAGAGAAGTTGGAAGTTAGTTTCCTACTCTGTAAAACTTCCACCTATATAAAGAAAGAAACTGAATTTTTATTAAAGAGATTAAATTTGCAATTACATGCCATCATTATAACAGGGTGAGCACTGTACTTTTTCAGCAAAAATATCTTCACTTTTGAGTAAAAATGTTTTCAGTAATAAGATCCTTTTTACAGTGCTTGAAATGTAAATGTGTATTCTTGACTGAACACATACCCAACCATCTTGTAGTCACTGGAATTATTATCTGAAGTTATACATCTGCCTAATAAGCATGAGTGTGAGAGAAGGGAGAAAAAGTTGGGTCAAAGTCAGTCTCTTACTCCAAAACCACTTCAGACAATGCTTTCAGCAGTGTTTTGTCTAAGCAAATTGTAAGAGATCTGATTCGGATGTCTGAGGAATAACAGTGTGAATTTCCTTCAGAGTGCACAGAACTCCAGTGCTTAAAGATTTATTTATAAAACAAGAAATGGAACAAAAAACATTCAGAAAACTATGGACAGAAATACCTCTTTTGGGAGATCCACGTGATGCACGTCAGATGTTGCAAGCAGCAAAACCGGAGCAAACGTTGGAATGTTCTGCAGTAGTGTTGTAAAAGTAGCTTTCAGCGTAGCTCCAACAGCCTCCCACCACGAGTGGATATGTGGGATATAAATTATACTTGGTGCTGTTCTCTGAGCTTCTCGTATCAACTGTTAAAATGAAAGCTTGGATATGAAAACCAGACCATGGGCCAGTAAACAACAATGCATGAGACCAGGTTATGTGCATTGGAAGACCACAAGCCATTGCCTACAGATTGTACCTCAATCACAGAAGACGACATGCATCCACCACGTGAGGGAAGTGGCAACAGTCCTTCCACATAACAAATTCCTCCATGCACCCTTTCAGATTATCAGTATTCACATATCCAGATTACCAATATTCAGAATATCAGTATTATCACTATCTGCTTATATTTAAGTTTCCTAGTTAAGAAATACACACCTATGTACAAACGTCAGTGAATTTGAATGCTTTGACTGCATACACTGCAGCACTAAAAGCTGCCTATGTAAGAAAAAGAAATGCTGCTTCTCCCCCAAAACCTCAATTGCCTTTTCAATAAAATAGGTGGCTACTGTAAGTGCCTGACACGCAGTCAGACTGCTGCAGAGCCATCTACTGGGAGCACAGGTTCTTGTGAAGCAATGAAAACTTTGTGGATCCCACAGACTAGCAGCATTTCTTGCCATAGGGAGGGGTTTATTAGCAGCACCTCCCGACTTCCTGAGCTGCTCAGTTCACTGTTCAGTTTGGAATGGAGAATACACCCATGTGTAACATCCGTATTTGATATCGTTCAATCTGGAAGAAAAGTGCATTTTCAGACAGAAGTAAATGTAAGAGCACATTCAAACCAGGCTGCCTCCACCAGTAGTGAATTTGGCTTACTTTATGAGGTTAGATACAGTTCATGAATCCTATGATATTAAAGAAAAAAAAGAAAAAAAAGATACCTGTGCACATCTTTCTTCTGGTGAGGTGATGCTTGCCAACAACACACATAGGTCTAGTGTATAAACTGGAAACTTTTCCAGGGCATGTATTACTGCAGGTGCCAAATGAGAAGTTTGCCCATATCCTGGCTCTCCCACCAGTAAGAACCGTGGCCTACAAGATGTTGGCTGGTAATAAACATTTCTAGAACAGTAAGGAAAAAAGCAAGTTAAAGAAATGAAGTGATGAATATTAGGAAAGTGAGAAAAATAACTGACTCAACAGGGATGAAAATCTATTTTTCAACTGTTGGCTTACATGACTTCCATATTAAACTATCAAAAGATTCACAAAAGCTTAGCAGAGTAAAGGTTCAAATTGCAGACACTGTTTAAGTTTTCCTCATAGTGTTTTAACAAACCATTTCTCAGTTTTGCTTCTGCTACATAACTTGCTACTGGTTTAACAATCCTGGAAGGCAGAAAGGCAAAAGATGACTACACAAATCCATAGGTGGTTTTTATCTAGAAGGACAGACAGCCCATTTTCTCAATCTTGAGTCTTTCAAGGAATACAATGGATTAAATCAACACATTCCCATAGTCTGTGTACCACTTCTGACTTGGGAGAAGAGGGCTGGAACGTTCAGTGTGATGGGTTATGGCAGTCTACAGCTTCATCTACCACCCCTCACACCAGAACTATTTTCAGACCCACCCATACTGACAATGTAAATGTAAAGGGGACAAACACTTACCTGCCAAAGTTGAGGAATTTTTCCTGTTGTCTACCAGGCGTTTTATGAGTGGGATTCTCTTCAAAGATCGGTGGTGATTCCACATCACTGTCAATCATATCATTTCTTAAAGTCTGATTCAAGCTGTCTTAAAGACAAGAGAGGCTTGTTAACTTTCCTGAATAGTCTGTACCTTGCTCTCACATTAATACAGCTTCTAAATCAGCGCTGGAAACCACTTATCTTGTATTTCTTCATTTGAGGGCACACACTGAATGCTATTTTCTGAAAAGCCCATTCTACCACAGATCTGAGGAGATCACACAGGTCTGTACAAAGCTGTCCTACGTCCCATGATTTGTGTAAGGTATCCTCCCTGTGTTGGTGAAAACTGGGAGGTTTTTCCCATGGAACAAAGAGGATTAGGAACAACCTCTGTAGTTCCTCAACACCTGAAAGCCTCAACAAGGCCACTTCTTTCTGGAGCTGGATGTAGGGAA